ATAGGCCTACTTGATGTAGTGGCACCAAGTGGAATTGCAGAAATATGCCCATATGCACATATAACTTTGTAATATATAAACACTTTAAATAATATATATTTTAAAATGTATAAGTTCAAAAAAATGAAAAAAGTTACAGTAGGTAAAACGATGGGCGATAAAATGATAATGATAATTATCGTGATACAATTTTCCTTGATAAAATGATAAGAAGAGTTAGATAAATATTCGATATAATATTTATGCGTCAAAAGCGTAGTAAAAACACTAGTAATAATACTGCAGCCTGCACTGTGCAGAAGATACGCGTCAAAGTCAGGCAACACAAAACTGTGTCATGATTTGAAACAATATCACTCATTAGAACATGCAGAAACTAAGAAATACATTTTTCTATTAAGATATTTGTTGTGTAAAGTGTTGTGGCAAAAACAACTATTAACAAATAGCATCACAGTGTAAGAGACAAGGAATCAAATTATATTTAAGGAAAGAAGTTTATTTTCCTTAAAGAGGTATGTTCACAATGTTTCAGCAGCTACCCTGAAACACAACAGACCTAAAATCACACTGAAAACAGACAGCCTTATTATACTGTTATCACCCCCCACTTCTTACAAGGTTCCTTCTCTGTAAATTTCCACTTAACCCCGTAAACCAAACCTAGCTGTTTTCAGAAAAAACAATGGTCCTTCTAACCCCCTGGGCTTTTATTATCTTCACATCTGTGAGGTCAACAACCCCTCTGTTCAAAGGCTCTTTCTGATCATTTGTTTTTACTGTGTGTTTGTGTGCCTTCACACCCGTGAGGTCAAAGGTCTTTATTTATGACTAACCCCTCTGTCTTTCCTGATTAAATTACCTGCACTAAAGACTTCAAAGGCTCTCTGTTTTACTGTGTGATGTCTTTGTTGCATTCCAGGTGACATATATATACATATTGAGAGAGGAACACAAGTTAAATCAAAAGGCAAAATAAAAAATAAATATAAAACCCCACACAATGTCTAAGAAAGTAAATAAGAAAGAGTAAAACATTAATTTTCCTACAACATAAAGAATTAAAGTAAAGAAGTGTTTGTCATGTTCTGATCATAAAGAGTCGTTTAAAACCACAATTAACCATCTGGTTTCTACAACTTTCACTTAGGAGCAAAAATCTGCCTTTAAACTTGAAAGAAATAAAGATTTGAAATTTATCGTGATAATTATCGATATCGAGTGACATGAAAAAAAAAATTATCGAGTGATTTCTTTTGACGAAAAATGTATACACATATCTGTAGGGGTTTGTGTGTACATATACTTTATTAATTTTTGAAAAAGAATAAAATCTGTAAGTTATATGTGCATGTTATATTTTATTTTTTATATAATTTTATATTTTATTACTTTCAAAGTTTTTTTTCGTGATTCTGACATTTACGACGGCGTTTTAGTGCCACGTTACAAAATAAAAAAATCTAAGATTACGAGAATGCAGTCAAAATATTTTGAGAAAAAAGTCACAATTATGAGAATTAAGTCATAGCAATTACGAGATGAAAGTTATAATATTTTGAGAGCATAGTCTATATTGCGCATGCAAATGGCCCGGATCGGGAGCAATGGGAAAAATCCTGGTGGCCTGGCAACTGATTTGAATATATATGGGATTATTAGCAGAAATCATACCATAATTTATAAATATACTCGCAGTCGCAGGGACAGTATGCTTGGATATAATGTTTCACGTCTTCGAATGCATTCATTATTCGTATTGCGCCGGCCACCCAATAATAGCAATAAGTGCTTTTGGTACTTTTAATATAAAACAGTCTCAGCTTTCAATTTCTGTCAGTTTTATAGTGAAATACAAACAATATGTCTTACAATAATGTGTTTTTCACGTTTTTTAATGTAGCGTGACAGATCACTGTATTCACCTCGGTTTAAGTGGCATGTGAATCAATCAACTTTTTGATTACAATGAGACATTCGTTTCATTAAATTGTACTGTTTTCTTTGTAAACATTCCACCACCTACTCCACAAAACCGTCTGTGGCATCCAACCTTTCATTCCTCACATGTATTTAATTAAAAACAGCAATAAAACGTTCTAAAGGTTGAAGTGAGCTCAAACTCGTTGACTTAGGATATATTGTTGTCTTTTCTGAGGTAAATAATTCGTAATTGTTACAACTTAATTCTTTTAATTTTGACTTTATTCTCAAAATATTTTGACTTTATTCTCATAATTTTAACTTTATTCTCAAAATATTTAGAGTTTATTCTCATAATTTTTACTTTATTATCAAAATATTTAGAGTTTATTCTCATAATTTTGTCTTAATTCTTTTAATTATTTTCTTTTTTCTCAAAATATTACAACTTTAACCTCGTAATCTAAGATTTTTTCATTTTTTAACATGGCACTAAAACGCCATCGTAGACATTTCTGATTTGAATAATTTACTTTTTTTTTTTTTTAATTGTATTTATTTTTCCCCCCAAAATTTTGGTAGTAGATGAACAATTATTTTGACAATTTTTTTAAATAACTTTTATTTTATAAATTTATACAAAAGTGCAAGTATCCTTTACAATATATTTATACAGTATTTATACAAAATAATTGCAATGATTCACATGTTTTTTAACCTTTCTTTATATATCTAATAATACTGTAAGATGGGAAAAAAGTGTCAAAATAAAAGCTAAAAAGTGTAAAAAAAACAAAAAACAAAATAAAGCTAAATATTTTCTAAATATTATTTTACACATATTTGTAATATTTTATTTTTACAGTCTAAATGGGCCTTTACACATGAAAATATACATGAATATATGAAAACGCCTAATATGGCAGTATCTGACCTCACAAAATTGAAAAACCACTTTGAACAGTTGAGATCAGCAATCTCGTATATGTGATGGTTGTTTCCTGTGGGTCGAGAGCTCACATACGTGACCTGATCCTTTTCCAAGAGCTGTGCCATATTCCTGGCTGTATGCTGCAAATGTGTTGCTGTTTATCGAGCGCAGTAAAACTTTGGCATCCGATATGGCATCCCTCTGGGTATGTGGTGTCTGTAAATGAGTGAATAAACAAAAACACGCTTCCATTCCTACTCTGACCCAGAGCAACCCAAGGATCTGCTCTGTTCTGCGTCCTATAATGGGACAGATGTGTCTATTTTGGGGTTCGTGCTCTTTATTCATTAATGGCAGCCCCTCAGACTGCTTACTTGTAGATATTCTTCAATTGTTTCCCAGAGGCTCCATTTTTACACGGTCCTGCAAATTTTTAGAGGACAATTTTAAAAAGAAGGGAAATAATGTCTTTTACTCTTGTTTTTTCATAAGCCTTGCTCAGATCGCGTCTGACTCAAATGCTGCTGAGCTTTAGTGGTGTTTATCATAATGTTGTGAAGGCCATAGACGGGGTTATCATTACGACTGGGGTTAAGTGGGAGAGACGGCCCATTTCTGTGTAATGTTGTGCAGTGATACATAAGGCACTACAGCACATCTGCATGCGGCTGCACAGTGTCATCAGTCCAATGCAGATGGCCAGAAAAACATCTTTCCACAGACCACTGAACTGATGCTTAAATTCACAGGGCCCTGGTGAATTTAATAATCTTTGGATGATGATTATGTCTGATTTGAGTGTTCAACTCCATACATGAGGCTCTGGTTTTATTCTAAATGTGGTGAATTCAATGAAAACAGAGGTCTGAATCATTCTTGTCAGTTCATTACTTGACTACTGGTGGCACTGGTGTGCACAAATTCATTAGGATTATATTTGCACAGTCAACGGTGTGTAGATGTGGGATCTGAACTGACAGATGATTCAGAACTTGGTTTTGAGAACACCAAGTCTTGAGCAATGAAATGGCAATCTCTGAGCAATAAAATGAGTATTAACTGAATGACGATTTATTGACTAATTTTGACAGGTTTATTGGCTATTCTAAAAACTTTACAGAAACCAAAAACTGTTTGACTTTCAATTTTGTTATTGGTTGAGTTGGTTCTGAAACGTTTATTCTTACACGTTGATGTGGAACTGCTACCCACCAAATCCTGAATGGCCAAATGACTCTTATAAGCTGGTTCTTTTTAAGTGAATCAAAATCATACCGTGTTACTAGTTTAGTCCGAATTCTGAACAAATGATTCTTATGAGCCAGCTCTTTTAAAAAGAATTAAAAACATACGTTGTGACCAGAGCAGTCCGAGTCCTGAACAAATGACTCTGAGCCAGTTCTATTTTTAAAAGAATCATGACCGCACAGTGTGACCAGTGTTATCCAAATCATGAACAAATGGCTCTTATGAGCCGGTTCTTTTTAAGTGATTCAAAAACATACACTGTTACCAATGTAGTGTAAATCTTGAACAAACAAATCTTATGACCCGGTTCTTTATGGAGAATCGTAGTCTTGATTCTTGCACAAATGGTTCTTTTAAGCTGGTTGAATGAATGAATGAATGGCATATGGAAGCACATTTGAATTGGTTTTTAGTAGTTTTATTTAATATGTAGTTCGAGCCAGCTATTAGATTGCATTTATGGCAAAGGATGTGGAAAGTCATGAAGCCTTTGTAAACATTGTTTGCAAGAATTGTTTTAAACTTAGATTTGTTGAAATCTGAAATTATGTCATCAGTTGTCAACAGAAATCTTCATTAGTTTTTTATCTAAATATTTATTCCTCAACAGTACTAAAATCATTAATGGAACCCTTCCAAGGAATCGAGACCAGAATTCCTAGCCATTTTCATGGCTGTTTACGGAAAGTTTTTTCCCAGTGCGACTGTGAAATATTTAACGTAACATTCATAAATCAGGCCACAGGAATGTGTATCAAGGAAATAAATACCATCTATTTTGATTCCAAGTCTCCATTTTCTCTCCTTACATTATTTCTCTCTAGGAGACCCAATTGAGACATTAAAGAGTTCTCCTTTGTGACTTTTCCTTTCCTCTGGCTTCTTATGTTCCTGATAGTTCATCAGGCATTTCCTGGACTTCCTGGTTTCTTGGCCCAGTCCAGCTGTGAGTCCACCTGCTCCGCTCGGAGATTCAGCTCGCTTTCCCATGACGGCTGGAGTCAATTAACGGCTCAGAAAAACCACAGCGTTGAGGTGAATTTAGATGCGACTGTCTGCCGAATGGAGAAAAAGAGTCCAACGCTGCAGTGACAGGTACATATGAACGCTGCCAGAATCCAACAGTCACGCATTCATGTCCTTGTTGATTCGTCACAAGCCGAGGCAGGGCTGAGTAAGCTGGCGGACGGCCATGTTGAATCAGTGCTTCATCGTATAAACATAATGCAGTGGAGATGAAATGTGGTATTTTCTGCTCTTTGTGTACCTGTCTTCACCATGTGGGTTCGAAACAAGGGGAACGTGTTGTGAGTCACTCATGGGATTTGGCCCAGTGTTCCTGTAACATTGGAAAATAGGCTTAAAAATGCTGTTTTTGGCATGGAGCAGCAGGTACATTAATGCGCTGTCAAGGACTCGACTTTGCTCAAGTTGTTCTGTCTTATATCACCCACAGGCACGCTGAGTGTCATCTGTAATCGGTCTTGATATACAGTAGGATCTGCAGTCTATAGTGGAGCATGTAACATTTCCGGATAAGGTTGTCCATTAGTGTGGTCCCATAAAACACCAACATAAATGGTAATTTCTTATTTATTCTAAGGTTTCATTCAGCTGCCTGCGGCATGTCTGAACCAGTGTTTTTTTTAGTATTCTTTACATACCCTAATAATATTTATTAATATTTGGGATTTATTAATATGTAATATTGATATTTTGCTTTTATTTTTATATTTTCACTTTTCATTTTTAATTTAAGTTTTATTAATTTTTATGTCATTTTTACTTTTTTTTCTGTTAGTTTTATATTTTTATTTAGCTTCATTTTTAGTAATTTTAGTACTTCAGCTTAAACTTTTAACTTTTCAACTTTTACTTGCCAAAGCGACATTTTCTTATATTTCTTATCACATGTGTATGTTTTCAGCTTTCAGTTAATGAAAAAGAGTTTTAATAGTTAAGAATAACACTGGCTGGGATTGAAATCTAAAATGCAAAAAAAACAACAACAACAAAAAAAAAACAATCGTCTTAGTGAGTACTTTTGCCTTGTTTTGCAGTAAAAATGCAACAAGCATCCATAAAATAAGATTGATTTTTGTTGTGTAAGTTAAATTGTGCAAATTAACACATTATTAATATTAGTTTTTTTCTTGTTTTAGGTGTAAAATTAAGTAAATTGATAGTTTTTTTGTGCTTAAAATAAGAAAAATCAAGCAAATTGTCTTTTTTCAATAATGCAGATTTTTTTATTTACATTTTTATCACAATAAAAGTGTTTAGTAAAAAGCGATTACAGCGATTTTCTTTTTATAATGATATATATTTTTTAATTTCTCTTTTTGCCCATAGCATGTCGCAAATAAGATCATTTTTATTATTCAGTTTCTTCTCATATACAGCAAAGACATGAATGAAGAGCAAATGGAGACTTGAAGAATGAAGAGCAAAAGTCTCCTGCTTTTTGGACTTTTCTTCTGAGACTCCAGTAATCCCACATTTGTATCCTCTGGAGTTTCAGAAGAGATCTCAACAATATCTCAAACTGTGCAAAAGTCAGATTTCAAAGTAAACTCAATTTTCATTACATTCTTCCAAAACCAAATGATTTAGCTATGCCATCCACATTATAGCGATAGGCTATACTCTCACTGAATGTCCACAATCGTCTCACTAGTGTCTCATAAGGAATTTTAGGAGAAACATCTGAGACAGTGTTGATGTCATAATTGAGAACACCAAGTCTTGAGCAATAAAATTAGTATTAACTGAATGATGATTTATTAAGTTATTTTGACAGGTTTATTGACTATTCTAAAAACTTTACAGAAACCAAAACTTTTGAAAAATGACTTCCTCCTTAAAGTAGACGATAAGCTCACCCCAAATGGTCAATCTCTCCATTTTATTGCGTCATCGGCTGCCTTTCTGGTTAGTCATGTTTGTTTGCATCTGTTTATTCATGTCTGGCTGTAGTTTTGTCTTCTCTCATAGGCAGGGGGATCTTGAGAATGAGAGGTGAATGCAGGCTGCTATCAGATCCAGACTGAAGTGGATGTATTTGGTGTGTTATGTGTTTTGAGACTAGAGCAAGTCCAGACTTCCAGCTCTTATCCAAAATGATAGCTGAGCAATAAATTTGACACAATTTTCTGACGACTCCATGGGAATATCAACAACATTTTTCATTCAGTATCGAAGATAAAACCAAATATTTAATATTCAAACCTTCTCCAGTTACGGTAATAAACACATCATCTGTGAATACATGTACTTTTTAACTGAATCATTGAATCATTCAGACTGAATCGTTCAATTATTCATATTCAGAAATTGATTTGTTGAAAAGAGCCATTTCTAAAGAATGATTCATTCACAAATCTGACATTGGAATCATTCAGACTGAATCGTTGAATCATTCAGAAACTTTCAGGTTTTATGAACTGGAGAATTTGATTCATTAAAAAGATCCACTTCTAAAGAATGATTCATTCGCAAATCTGACATTGACATCAATCAGGGTGAATTACTGGATCATTCAAGCTTTGCGAACAGGAGTAATTGATTTATTAAATAGGTCCCTCTCTAAATAATGATTAATTCACACATCTGATATCGGAATCATTCAGACCAAATCATTCAGGTTTTATGAACAGGTGCACTTGATTAATTGGAAAGATAATTTTCTAAAGAAAGATTTATTGACAAATCTGACATTGGAATAATTCCAACTGAATCATTCAGGTTTTTATGAGCAGGAGCAATTGATTCATTGAAAAGATCCATCTTGAAGAGTGATTCATTCACAAATCAAACATTGCTCTTTGTCATATAAACTCTCATGAAGAGCTAAAGCAGAAGTCGAGTTTTTAAGTGAAAAACAGCTAATTTTATTTTAATAATCTGCTTGCCACATTAAAAAAACAGTCATATAACTTCAAATATTATATGACTTTCTGCAGTCCCCATTCATTGTAGTTGCATGGAAAAGAGAGACCAGCACATTTTTCAAAATTTCTCCTTTTGTATTTAATGAAAAAAGTTTGAAAATACATGAGGGTAATGACAGAATTTTTAGTTTTGGATGAACGATCCCTCTAAATTCTTTTGGATCAGCAACTTAAAACAGATCTCATGTGACTCACGACTGAAACAAATGGCTGGCCGAATCATTTCAGAAATGCAGAGAAGAATCAACAAGTGGGTCTGGGCAGAGACAGGGTGTCATCGACGGTCTGGACTTCAGACTCCAAAACAACCCTACAGACTATAAATGCTGACTGAATTGTCAAGGAACTCGGCTCTGTTTTCAGGTCATTTTGAGCCGTACCTGCTTATCTTGGGTGGAGCAACGCATTCCTGTAGTTTGGACAGGTCTGCTCTGGCCACGTGCCATAGTATCGGGCCCGAAGCATGTACATACATTAGTGCACATTTTGTCGTTCCGTTGGGTGCGTCTGAAGTGTGTATATTTTAGCAAATCGTGAAAATCTACAATAGCAGCTGTCTTATAGGCTTATTTGTATTTGCACTAGTGGCAATATTGCGCAGGCATGTATTGTTTGTTTTGGTCTCCTTTACGTAAAAACAGCCTGCGATGCTCTGAATGTCATCTTTATGTTCAACAACACGATATAAACCCTCGGTAGAGGGTTGCAGTGCACTGTATCTCTACAAATCTCTTTTGTTTGAATGCGTGATGTACTCATGTGTCGGCCGACCACCCAGACGCAGGGTTATAACAATAACACTTCCACTTCCTATCGCTGATAACGCTACGGTTACGGCTGAGGGAATCTCGGCAGGACAGACTGTATCAGTCAAACTCGGTGCACATCAGAGGAGCAGACCCCTGTGTTTAGGAAACAGCTAGTCAAGCCTACATGTCTAAAATTTCCTCCCCGCTCATGTAAGCTAAACACACTAATCTGGCTCTAAACTGTCATTATAGCAACATTTGTTACAGGGTTAATGCTCTGAATGTATATATCTCTAGACCTTATTATGGATATCGCTTGCAGTGTCTTTGCCAAGTAGAGTAAGATGTGTTTCTGGACAGCGTTCAGATTTTTAAATCATAGTTATTGTCTTGTTCAAAATGTTTTTTATGAATTTAGCCAATATTTTGCTATGCTATATACATAAATTTAGTTCTTTTAAATGGCTTATAATTTTTAAGTTGAAAAGTTACTCTTCATATGTTCACCAAGACTGGATTTATTTGATCAAGATACAGTAAAAATAGAAATATTATTACAACTTATTCCTGTGATGTAAAGCTGAATTTTCAGTATCATCACTCCAGCATCAAGTGCCATATATCATTATAAATAGAGGTACTTGAAGTTTCAGTCTAATTTAAAGTCCCAATTTTACATTTGCTTTCTCTACAAATGGATGAATAAAAAAATAAAAATAAAATAACTCAAGCAGCAGTTTGGTGTTTTTTTTAAAAATTGTGAACTCAAACACAAACTCCTGAAGTTTAGATTTTATTTTATTTTTTTCTTTAGAAAGTTATACTTGGGTGTTTTACACTTCCGTTTATTTAGCCATTTATTTCAGTATTATTCAAGGCCTTTTTCAGTGACAAATTAGTCTATTTTATTTACTTTATTACTTTTTTATTACTCTATTATATATATATTTTTAAAAAGTCCAGGGATTAAAGTAAATAGAAATTTTGCTATAAAATAACTGAAGCAAAAGTGACTTTTTTTTTTCCAGAGACATATATATTTTCAAACTGAACACGAACAAACGCAAACAGTGTAGCAAGTAGTGAAAACCAAACAAACTATTTAACTTCAGCATCAAGTCGTAAAGGGGTCATATGATGCGATTTCAATTTTTCCTTTCTCTTTGGAGTGTTACAAGCTCTTGGTGCATAAAGAAGATCTGTAAAGTTGCAAAGACTAAAGTCTCAAATCCAAAGAGATATTCTTTATAAAAGTTCAGAGTCAGCCACACCTACCTAAAACGGCTCGTTCTAACACACCCCACATGTCTACGTCACGATGTGAGAAGATTTGCATAACGCCGCCCAAACGTTCACGCAAAGAAAGAAGGCGTAACTTAAAAATATTTGGCTGCAC